GATGAGAGGTTGTCGAAAGAGGTAATCGAGGTCTATCGGAAGAATGATAGGTTGATAAGGGTGAAGTTGCTATGTGGCAAGGAGATTGTGAATGTTATTAATTAGTGCTTATGCTCCCCAAGTTGGTTTGGATGCAGAAGAGAAATGACGATTTTGGGAGGATTTAGACGAGGTGGTACAGGGTGTCCACCACTTAGAGAAATTATATGTTAGAGGTGATTTAAATGGGCACGTTGGGGCGAGCCGAGATGGCTATGAGAGTGTCCATGGAGGCTTTGGGTATGGGCAGAGGGACACAGGTGGTGAAGCTATTATGAATTTTGCCCAATCATATGATTTAATTTTGGCTAATACTTGGTTTAAGAAGCGGGATTCACACTTGATTACTTTTCGGAGTGGAGAAAATGCAACACAAATAGACTTCCTGCTCACAAGGAGCACAGATAGACAAAGTTGCCTAAACTGCAAGGTCATCCCAGGAGAGAGTGTGGTCACCCAACACCGGGTTTTGGTAATGACTATCCGTTTGAAAGAGAAGGCGAAGTAAAAAGGAAGACAAGAGGAGCCAATGATAAGATGGTGAACTCTAAGGGATGCAAAGACTAAGGTTTTTACAGAAAAGGTAATTAAGGAGGCGGATTAGGATGGAGAGGTGGATCCAGACATGACTTGGTAACGAATGAAGAATTATTTCCTCAGAGTGGCCAAGGAGGTCTTAGGGGAATCAAGGGGAAGAGCTTCGATACAGAGAGATACTTCGTGGTGGAATGAAGAGGTGAAAGCAGTAATTAAGCAAAAAAGGGAATTCTATCTAGCCTTGGGAGAATGTAGAAGTGACGAAACCTTTACAGCGTATAAAGAGGCTAAGAGTAAGGCAAAGGCAGCTGTTCGCCAAGCAAAAGAAAAGACTTATCAGGAGGTTTATGAAAAGCTTGACTCCAAGGAGGGAGAAAAGATCATTTATAAGATGACAAAGATAAGACAAGAGACAAGGAAGGATATTGGCATGGTGAAGTGTGTCAAAGATAAGAACCAAATGGTCCTAGTACAAGAAGAGGATATCAAGGACAGGTGGAAGGGGTACTTCGATGAATTGTTTAATGGAAGTATTGGAGTTGTGACAGGAGATACCTCCGTGAGTGATGAAGAAATCAACATGGAGTATGTGCGGAGGATTAGGAGAGTAGAGGTGGAGATTGCACTGAAGAAGATGAAGCCTAAGAAGGCGGTTGGCCTTGATGGTGTACCGGTAGAGGTGTGAAGGTGTTTGGGTAAGATTGGTATTGATTGGTTAACATACCTTTTCAACAAGATATGGACGGCTACAAGGATCCCCCAAGATTGGAGGAAGACCACCTTGGTCCCGGTCTCTAAAAACAAAGGAGACGCGCGCTTAAGATTGTTCTAAATATCAAGGAATCAAGCTTATGAGCCACACTATGAAGTTGTGGGATAGGGTGATTGAACATAGGTTGAGGGCGTGCACAAGCATTTCGGATAACCAATTTGGTTTTATGCCTGGGAGATCTACTATAGAATCAATCCATTTGATAAGACAAATGATGGAGTTTTATAGGGCAAAGAAGAAGGATCTTCATATGGTCTTTATTGATTTAGAGAAGGCATATGACAAGGTGCCAAGAGAGGTACTTTGGTGGGTAATGTTGAAGAAAGGTATCCCACGAAGGTACGTGGACCTGGTTAAGGATATGTATCGGGATGTGTCAACAAATGTGAGGACATGTGGAGGGTTGACAAAAGATTTCTCTATTACAATTGGATTGCATCAAGGGTTTGCATTAAGCCCTTTTCTTTTTGCAACGGTTCTTAATGAAGTAACTAGACCAATTCAAGATGAGGTTCCATGGTGTATGTTGTTCGCAGATTATATCATTTTGGTGGATGAAACTAAGGATGGGGTTAATGATAAGTTGGAGGAATGGAGGCAAAGGTTGGAATCTAGAGGGTTTAAGCTAAGTCGGAGTAAGATTGAATATTTGGTATGTCGTTTTGGTACTCAGAGGGGGACAAGCAATGAAGTGGTGAGTTTGGATGGAAAGGATTTGACCATGAGTGAATGCTTTAAGTATCTTGGGTCGATCATCCAGAAGAATGGTGACATTGATCAAGACGTGGCTCACAGGATTAAGTCGAGGTGGCTTAAATGGAGAGCGGCCACAAGAGCGTTATGTGACCGAAGCATTCCCATAAGACCAGTGTTGCTCTATGGTACATAATGTTGAGCTTCTAAGAAGGAGCATATTAAAAAGATGGAGGTTACGGAAATGCGCATGTTAAGGTGGATGTGGGAACACTGTAAGAGATAGAACTAGAAATGAGGTTATTCACAAGAAAGTAGGTGTGGTAGACATTGCAGATAAACTAAGGAAAAATCGCCTGTGTTGGTTTGGGCATGTAAGACAGAGACCCGAAGATGCACCGGTGCGAAGAGTGGGACCATGGAGGGGTTAAACGAGGGAGAGGAGACCGAAAATGAATCGGTTGGAAGGAGTTAGGAAAGATATGAAGTGTATGGATTTGCATGAGGGTGAAGCATTGGATCATAAGGGATGGAGGAGGAAGATTTATGTCGATGACTACACGGAATAATCAAATTTGGTTCATGTTAGCTGACCCCACTTATGGGATTAAGGCTTTGATTGATTGATTGGACTCTAGTGTATAGTAATTATAATGAACAAATTAATATTTTAGAAGGTGTAGTTTAATTTTCATGTAAAGCAAATGTCATAATGATGAGAAACGATATCTGAATCCCCTAAAATCGAGAGAGAAGCTCTAACCACATGAATTAAACCTCACTTTCAAAAATCGAATTTATCATTACTTACTTTTTTATATTCCCAAATTACCCTTGGGCTCTTGGACCCGTTTCTCGTTTGCCCGTTCTTTCGGTTTCTCTCTCATACCAATGTTTTCTCCGTTTATACTCTTTGGTTTTGAAGGCATATTCTGATTCTTTATCTCTCTTCTTGTTTGTGAACACAAATTTTGGGATTTATGAACACCATTATTATTATAGAAGCTCGTGATATTCAAAGAAAAAAAAGGGAAGTTAAAATAATGAGGGATTAGATAATTACTCTTTTGCTGATTTGCTCATTTTTATCCCTTCTTACCGTTCTCAAATCACCAAATTATCTCAGGTAATTATTATTTTTTTCAATATTAAATGGGTAAATTTTGTTTTTTGTTTGTTTTTTAGTTTTAAAATTTTGTTTCCTGCAAATTTATCTCAAATGGGTAATTTTCTGAATTGTGTTTTTGTTTGATTTCAAGTGGGTAGATCCAATGTGCCTGTATTTGATCTGGGTTTTGTGATTAGATGATCAATTTAATGTAATTTTGTGATAATTCTTGTCAATTTTAATGTAAAGTTCTAATTTTTTTAGTGGGATTATTGGCGTTACTTCCAGCATTGTCTTGTTTTTTTAGTTGATTTTGCTGGAATTGGGTTTTCAAGTAGTTTTGTTGTTGAAATTTACTCGTTTGGTATTTGGTAGGCAATCGCAGTAGTTAAGAGGGTCCCTAAAAGTCACAACTACTATATATGCATATATTTGACATTCTAGCACCGAAAACCGGAAGCTCGAAATGTTTGTATTTGTGATCTTGAATCGATGCTTTTATAATGGAATTTGATTCAGTTCTTTGAGTGCAAGATGTGTTTGGCAATATTCCATACCGTCATATGGGAAAAACTTTGATGAATGTTCTTAAGTTTTGTAGTTTTTACACTCTTGTTGGGTGAAATGAAGTATGATGGATGCCAGTAATGTATTAATACATATGTATATAGTTCTGTATATTTGTGCAACATTTGTTTGTGAGATTGTGATCAAGAGCAAGCATGAACCGTCTTGGGACATTTGTTTGCGCTTTTATTTCGTGCTTTGAAGTTATCTGGAATTTGTTTCTTACATATGTTTAAGAAAGCTTAAATGCACCTATACAGTAGTAGGCTTGAAGCTCTAAATTGTCTTATATATATATATATATATATATATATATATATATATATATATATATATATATACACTCCCTTCGTCCCATAATATAGTTCTTGTTTGTGTTTTTTCACGTTATTTAAGAAATAAGAGGAGAAAGTGGATGAAGTACATTAATAAAAGTGAAAAGTACAATCATAGACAAAAAGTTAGGGAGAGAAAGTGGAAAAAAGTACAAGGCATGTGCAATATTTAAGGGTAAATTAGGAAGTACAATGAATAAAGTTAAAAAAGTGAGAGTATAATGATCTTTACATGCTATCCAAAAGTAGAAACAGGAACAACATTTTGGATCTCCAAAGTAGGAAAACAGGAACTATATTATGGGATAGAGGGAGTATATATATATATTCTGTAGCTGACACACATTTGATCCTTCTCTTTTCATGTTGGTTATTAAGGATTTCCGAATACTGTTTTCTAGCTGGTCAATTGACTGTCGACTTGTGGATCTTTTTTTACTTTTTCTTAAGCTGTTTAATTTTGCAACAAGGTGCTGGCCTAGCCATCTAACTCATATTTTTTTTATAAGCAGCACGTTTTAACCCTTGTAGATATTGATGCCTCAAAAAGTCAAAAAGTGTGTTGAGAAACTGAGAACCAGCATCTGAAGCGTGAACTGATTTTTCCATAACTTTGCTGTAGAATATGATGAGAAAACAGTTAGGTCAAGTGCTGCGTCGTTGACAAATTATATATTGTGATAGTTCCTTTAATCCTATCCATGGCTGAGATTTTCTGATGCTTCAACAAGCAATACTTTGAGATAATTATTGAGATGGAGTGATGGACTAGTTGCATCAAGTTTCTTAGAGGGACACAGCCTTTGTGTTGCTATCTCTTTTCCGACATTTTTGGTTTTGAAGTACCATTTTCTTTTCTCAATTTCCTAAAGGCTATTACTGGTTAAAGTATCTTGGATACAAATTTCATTAGTTTCTAATAGAAGCTTTTTGGCTCAAAACACTGTCGATGGAAGGTTCTCTTTCACCCCGAGGGCATAAGCAAAGTCCTCAAAGCCATGGGCGCAAATCTGTTTTTGGTGTGACTCAGAAAGATATATGGCTTATTGTGAAGGAGGGCTGCTTAGCTGATGTCGAATTAGCTTTAACTCAACTGAAAAAAAATGGTGGTAATATCAACTCGAGGAATGCATTTGGCCTTACTCCTCTTCACATTGCTACTTGGAGAAATCACATTCCTATCGTGAGGAGATTACTTGCAGCAGGTGCTGACCCTGACGCTAGGGTGAGTTATTCCTCTCTACTCTGTCTTTATAAGATTTACCTTCTATTCTAGTTAAGTTGGAAATTGGGTCGTCCTTTTTTGAGTTTGGATATTAGTATATGCATTGTGAAACAAAATCTAAGCGGAACCACTTTTTTAGTATCTGTCAATGTATATTATGCGTCATTTGGAATTGCATGTGCGGTTCAGTTGCTGATAAATTGTTTGCACTGATGTCAGCCTTGGAAACATTTATTTTCTTTTTTGTCATCCTTTGTTCATGTCCTTTCTTAATAACACTATTCAAAGGAATTTGAATGCTTAATAGAATGGATGATCGTCAGCTTCCTTTCTGCTCTCTTGTTCTTCTTACTTAGGCGGCTTGTCTTTTAGGATGGAGAATCGGGATGGAGTAATCTCCATAGGGCTCTTTATTTTGGCCACTTTGCTGTGGCAGGTGTCCTTCTTCAGTCTGGTGCATCAATCTCTATAGAGGACTTCAAATCACGAACCCCTATCGATCTCCTTTCTGGACCTTTGTCGCAGATTCTGGGCAATCAACATGCTTCAGGTTTGTGGCTTTGCCTCTTAGTGATCGTTGTTAGGAATTCTTGCATTGATATGATTGGATGACTAAATTGTACTTTTCTTTCTTGCACAGTTACTACTGAAGTCTTAAGCTGGGGAAGCGGTACTAATTACCAACTTGGAACTGGAAATGCTCACATACAAAAGTTACCTTGCAAATTGGACGCACTTCATGGTTCATTTATTAAGTTGATTTCTGCTTCAAAGTTTCATAGTGTAGCAGTCACTGGCCGTGGGGAGCTTTATACTTGGGGGTTTGGAAGGGGTGGCCGCCTTGGACATCCCGAGTTTGACATTCATAGGTAAAGACTCTGATTCCCCCCTCTCCCCCTCTCCTCTTCCACTTCTTCTTTTTAAGTAATCATCATGTAATTTGTAAGTTTTACGTCTTGCTGAAGTATTTCCTTTGGCTAATTTAGTCTTGTATGTTTATCAAGAATAATTTTTGATATTGCATGGTTATGAGTTTATGATTCATGATAATTAAGAGCTTATTACCTAGAGAAGTCCAATTGTTAGGGTGTTTGATTTTAAAATAATGAAAAATGGAAGAATTGATGGGCTGCAAAAGGGATTGTTTGTGAGGGGGTTTTCGACAAGGACCAAGGGTTGGTTACTGGAGATGCTGATGAGAGGGCTCGAGTCAAGGAAGAAAGCAAGTTAATTAGTGAGCCTGATATATCTAATATAATCAACGAAGATAATTAGTGGGAAAATTTTGGACTTTTGGTCAATTTCATCTTGCCAGGTACTGTGTGGAGTGATGAATGGTCATCCACCTTGCTAGGAGTGTATCCATTACAAATCCTTTTTTAAGTACTCACACCTTACTGGTGTGGTTGTTGGGACTGTTTCTACATGGTGTGGCAAGGGAGATGAGGCTGTAAGGTTACTTTTGTTTTCACCAGTAATGTTTGAATATTTGAACCTGTTTTTTGGAATCCCAAATTGCTCTAATAAGACCCCTTTGAGGGGGAAGTTTGGTATGAATATTGGAAACGGAATGGAAAGGAAACAAATAAAAGGGGAAAAGGAATCATTTAACCATTACTTTTTCATTTGTTTGGTTTAATCATGAAAAGAAATCACTTAACCTAATTTTATTTCTTTTTGTTTGAGTAGAGTAAGGGTAATTGTTACCTAAAGTTTTAAAAAGGTAACATATAGGTGGAAACCATTACCCCTAGGTAATGAACTAGTGATAATTGCTACTCAAACCTTCTAACCAAACACTGGGTAATGGTAATGGTTTAATTGAATCCGTTTTTAAGCAAAGAAAAACTCTTTCCAAACATGCTCTTAATGTGATTATGCATTATAAACACTAAACACTGTATCTGTTTACTTTTTACTGCTGATAGCTGTAGAATCTGTCCTCAGTGAATTGATTTTTCTGCCCTTTTAAAGATGAATGCTTAATTGTTTGATGCTTAACATTGAAATTTTGAAAGTTGATGAGCTTGCAACCACATTAATTGTATTATAACTACCTTTGCATCTTGTGTTGTGCTCTGGCTGCTGTGGGTCCATAGTTCAATGTTGGATTCTGATATTGTTGTCTTCTTGTAGTGGACAAGCTGCAGTTATAACACCAAGGCAAGTGATTTCAGGCCTTGGTTCTCGACGTGTCAAGGCAGTTGCAGCTGCTAAACACCACACAGTAATAGCTACTGAAAGTGGTGAAGTTTTTACTTGGGGATCCAATAGAGGTATAGCTGATGTGTAAAGTTAGTGATTAGTGGGTGTAAATTGCTTTGCATTTACTCTCTGAGTTTGTTCATTTGATGTTTGTTTGCCTAAATTTGCATTATCATCAGAATCATGTTCTTACTTTTTTCTGCTTCTGCTGTAACTTATGTATGTCATGCTTTGATTTTCTTGTGAACTATATATTCAGAGGGCCAACTTGGCTATGCTTCTGTGGACACCCAACCAACTCCTCGGAGGGTTAGTTCTCTCAAGTCAAAAATAGTGGCTGTTGCTGCGGCAAATAAACACACTGCTGCTGTTTCTGAGACTGGTGAAGTATTCACATGGGGCTGCAACAAGGAAGGGCAACTTGGTTATGGTACATCTAACTCGAGCTCCAATAATACTCCAAGGTTGGTTGAATATTTGAAAGGAAAGTTCTTTATGGCAGTATCTGCTGCAAAATATCATACAGTGGTCCTAGGAGCAGATGGAGAGGTATGCAAGTTTAACCAAGGTGGCATTATTTTTGGATTCGTAAATTTTCATTGTTTCTCTTGGCTGTAGGTGTTCACTTGGGGTCATCGACTTGTAACACCGAGACGCGTGATTATTGCTAGGAATTTGAAGAAAAATGGGAATGCTTTAATGAAGTTTCACAGAATGGAGAGGCTTCATGTGGTTTCTATTGCCACAGGAATGGTGCATAGCATGGCTTTAACTGATGACGGGGCACTATTTTACTGGATTTCATCTGATCCTGACCTCAAATGCCAGCAGGTTGGTATTCCAAATACACTTGAGGTTTTTTATTTGACCACAAGGTTATAGCAGAATGTTAGTTTATTAATACCTCTTTATCTGTTTGCCTTCGTTTATGCAGTTATGTTATCTTAATGGAAAAAAAATTGTCAGTATTTCTGCTGGTAAGTATTGGCATGGCGCAGTTACATCGACTGGTGACATTTTCATGTGGGATGGGAAGAAAGCTAAGGACAAGCCACCAGAAGTTACTAGGCTTCACGGTGTGAAAAGGGCAACTAAAGTTTCTGTGGGTGAAACACATCTACTGATTGTTGGCTCAACTTATCATCCTGCTTATCCTGTCAATGCAGTAAAGGACTGTGAAAATTTAAGCTCTGCTGTAAGTGATGTTTTGGGAGAGTTGGATGAGGGATTCATGTACAATGACATGGAGTCTGACAATGCTAAATCTAGTTTGAAAATGGAAAATGTTGGTGACAAGGTTGTGCCTAGTTTAAAGGGCCTTTGTGAGAAAGTAGCTGCGCAGTGTTTGGTAGAGCCACGAAATGCTCTGCAAATGTTGGAAATTGCAGATACGTTGGAAGCAGGTGATCTTCGGAAGTACTGTGAGGTAATTTTTATTGTTAAATTATGCTCAAAAACCTCCCCCTTTTTTTTTGTGTTTTTTTTTTTTTTTAATCTTTATTTTAATGTTTTGTGTTTCAATCCTCTTTCCTATTGCAACATAGCTGATATGTCATTGTTGAATTTCATTGTCTGTAAGGCTTTGGTCATATAACATATATGAGAATAGAGTGAGGTTACAAGTATTGGTATACTTTTAACACTAGAGATCGAGATGTCATGTTGACAGCTGTGAATTGCATTCAATCAGGTAGAACTTTCAGAATCTTGCTTCTTCTTTTGGTCCCTAGAAGTGTTAGTCGAATCGTGTTCATTTGAGATTTTATTCAGATGGAAACATTGAGCATTTACTCAGAGTCATATGTTAGATATTTTACTATTGAAATCAGAATTGCTGGAATAGTTGAGCTCGAACTTCTAGCATCTTTTCCCCTCTCATCTCTACTACATGCCTTGGTTTAGAGTGTATAACACCATATATTGTTTCTTGTATTCTTGTACTCCGTAATTTTTAGACTTGTTTGTATGGTCAGCCATCCAATTCATAAATTTCAAAAATTGATAGCTAACTTTACTGCTGAAATAGTTATTGAAAGAGTGAATATGGCGACGATTTTTTTTTTATTTCTCATAATATAGGCATTTAGCAATACAATTTGTCACACTAAGGCCTTGTTCTGTTCACCTTATTTTTACTTATTTCAGGTCTCATAAGTTCTAATAAGATTAGTTCAGGAAAATTAGTTGTGATATGGGTTGGTAAGGGTTATTCAATTTCAAATTACAACTAATAAAAGTTGTAATAAGTTCAAGTAAGTTAAGATAGGTTCAGATAAAATAAGATAAGTCGAGATAAGTGAAAATCAGGTAAACAAAACACACCCTAAGCTATTACTCCTGAATGGATAAGCCAACAACTTATCACATAATTTTGTATGCAAAGCTTGTCGTGATGATTAATTGTGGACGAAGGGAACATTAAAAAAATGAAAGATAATGAAATAGCATTGAAAAAAATTAATCAAGTTTTCATCTTGTATGTTCTTAATAAACTAGCGTTAAAATATAATCTGTAGATATATATGAGGATATAATTCATTATGTGATGTAGAAATTGCACTTGCAGGAAATTGTTATTCGCAATTTTGACTATATATTTACAGCTTCATTGAATACTGTTGCTACTGCCTCACTGGAAGTTTTAGCTCACATTGAGAAAGTGCTGGATGTGAGATCATCTGAGTCATGGAGTCATCGTAGACTCCCTACTCCAACAGCTACTTTTCCTGCTGTTTTAAACAGTGAAGAGGAGAATAGTGATAGTGAGTCTCCAAGAACCAGGGATAACCTGTCCGTGACTGATAGTGCAAAGAAAGCTGGTTGTTTCAGATTAGATAATTTTTTGCAACCTATGAATGTTACGAATCAGGAAGTAAGCAAGAAAATAAGAGTACTGCGGAAAAAGTTGCAACAGATTGAGGTTCTTGAGGCAAAGCAGTCTAAGGGACACATTCTTGATGATCAGCAGATTGCAAAGCTGGAAACACGGCTTGCTCTAGAGAGGTCACTTGCAGAGCTGGGTGTTCCTATTGAGACAACAATTGCTAAGTCATCAGTTTCAGTGGTATCAGATGGCAAGGTTTCTAAGGCAGGGATGCCAAAGAAGCAGAAGAGAAAGAGCAGACAGAAGGAATCTCAGACAGAAGCTTATTCTGGTACAGAGTTGGAATCTAACCATGTGAAGGCTGTCGCGGACCTCAATTTGTCGAAGTTGACTGAGGGGAAGGTGATCTTTCTAATGCATCTTCTTTATAATCTGTGCTCTTTGCTGGTCAAATATAGCTCTTGCATCACAGTTTTCAAGTTTTTGCTTAATTATTGAGTTGTGTGTTTTGAACAATGACCAAAAAAAAAAAAAAAAAAAAAAAAAACACCCCTTATGGCCTAATCAGGCAGTGGAATAACATTCTTACTGCATAAGATCACATGATAGTTAATGAACAAAAGTGTTTGGCAGCTGTTGATCTACTACAACAATTAAGAACTTGTTTGATCGTCCTATGTTTAGTGTATATGATCCTTATTACTTAGTACTCCCTTTGTCCCTAAATAAAGCCCCATTTATTTTAAGCATGGGGTTTTAGGAGAGGATTTGTGGGGAGTTGTTGATCAAAGCTAAATAATAAAAAACTTAAGTGGGAATAACTTAGTAAGTTTAGGGGAAGTGAGAAATTGTAGTGGGGTTACATGATTTTGTTGAATAAAAGTGAATAAATAAAGAACTTAGTGGATTATGGGCCCACCCACTTGAGAAATAGAGATTTGAATCTAGGGACAAGAAATTTGGGAAAAAATGGGGATTTTATTTAGGCACGGAAGGAGAATATGGTTTTTTAAGTTAACTTTGATCAATTTAAACCTCAAGGTGTATGTCAATGTAATTTATTCCATGTTTTTCTGTTGATGACTACAATGATGAGCTTGTTTTTATTTAAAGGAATGTGATCAGTTTTTATATTAGTCTACTGAGTTATATATTATTTTGGCACTATAGATTTCTGCTGAACCTGAAGATTCATTTACTAAAGGCTCCCAAAATCTCTCTCAGGAGAAAGACTCTCCTGGTGTGGGTATGAGTAAAGGTTCATTGGTGGTGGGAACGAAGAAGAAGAACAAGAAGGGACTCAAGGGAGGGCTCTCCATGTTCCTGAGTGGTGCTCTTGATGAGCCTAGCAAAGTTGTTAGTCCACCACCACCACCGTCACCCAAATGTGAAGGACCAGCATGGGGTGGATCTAAGGTTTCAAAGATGTCTGCCTCTCTCCGTGAGATCCAAAATGAGCAAAGCAAATTGTTCAATAATCTGCCTACTAAAAGTAAAGAAAAACCAGAAGAGCTAGCTGATAGGACTAGTGGAAATTTTTTGTTGAGCTCTTTGCTGGCCTCTAACCCAATTCCAGTGGTGCCTGCTCGCACAACACAGTTACCTGATGGAGATAAAAGCACTCCTCCTTGGGCTGCTTCTGGGACCCCACCTCATCTTTCACGGCCTTCTCTCAGGGACATACAAATGCAGCAGGTACCATTATGGCACTAAGTTGCCCTGTAATTCTTTTTTAGCTGTCTTGTTTTTCTACCCTTGCTGCCTCTCTTTCTCCTTCAAGGGTGAGTAAAGAAATGGAAAAATGAAATGTCTCGTTAATTTTAGCTGACTTTTGTTGTATTTTTGCTGATGTGCATGTTTTATACTTGGTTTATTTATTTGTGTTATAGTGAACTTTTTGGTATAAGGTTTTGCAGATAAACCTGGCCTATGGTTGGGTTAAGAAAAGCTCAAATATACCATTTGTGTACTATCTTGGATAAATTAGCATTCTTTTTGGATGGTCAAACATGAAAATGGTAACTTCTTGTGATGTATATAGTGCTATAGTGTCCAAAACTTTTTTGATGAGCATTTGATGTTTTTAGCTTCTCTGTTTCTGCTTTTTTTACTGTTGGTGTTTGGAGTTTTGTTTTCCAGTTTCTATGGTAAGAAATTGGCTAGTTTGGTGTTCATGTATACTAAGTTAAGTTGAAATTAGCTTTTAACATGAGTTCTCTCCTGACAGTTTCTCATAAAGCATTTCTTTGTTCTATAAGCAATTTGCAGCTCTGCTTTCTTTTAGTTTTAATAACCATTTATTTACTGTCTTCTTCGCCAGCCCTGTTGATTCACTGCTCTTAATTTTGGTTTAATTTGCTCCATTTAAACAGGGTAAAAATCAATCTGTTGCTCATAGCCCAAAAACAAAGACAACTGGATTTGCAGTTACTACTGATCAGGGGTCACCTTCTGAGTCTGGCGCGCAAAGCCGTTGGTTCAAACCTGAGGTGGAATCAACATCTTCAATCCGTTCCATCCAGATAGAAGAGAAGGCAATAAAGGATTTCAGGCGCTTCTACAGCAGTGTTAGGATCGTAAAAAACCAAAGTTAGTGCTTTGTCTATTTGCTTTAGCAGGTTAGACTTCTGAATACCACTTGTTCTGTTCTTTCTCAGACTGTACAGATCCTTTGTATATTCACTTAGCTAGGTTTATTATCTTGGCGGAAAAAAATTGTGGTTGACTCAAAGTTCATAGGGTAGCTTGTACAATCAATCCCTTTTAAGAGGGATTTTTTTTCTTCTTAAAATTCTCTCAAACATTTTATTTGAGAGAGACAAAAATAGATTAGGATCGAATAAACGGCAGCTGCCTGATCAAAACTGTTATATCTGAGCTGCTGCCATCGCTGGTGGAGCAAATGCTTAGGGTAGGCTATGATATTAATATGTATGCATGTCGATGCTTTTATGTTACAATTGTGAACCTAAATTTACATTTAGTGAAATAATAACAGTGTATTTTCACCCGAAGTGCTTTTTTTGTTGGTCTTTGCATTACTTTCCACAGTCTTCACTGCGGCAATTTCTCTAGTAATTTCTTGCGTTCAGGACTGCACCAGATAGGGTTTGGAACTGCCAAATTTCTTAGGCTGGGGACTGAACCCGAGACACTCCTGTATAGACCAGTCTGGACATAATAATCCCGGTTTGATTCAATTTGAGACTGGTTGTATGTAATTAGTTAGCAAATGGTTGGTTTTAATAAAGAAAAGAACCAAAGTCCCTCTCATTATGTTGACTGTCTTGAAAGACTAGGTCATCGCCCATACTTCTCTTATTGGTTTTAACACTACTCTGCTATTAGAATAGGGCGATAGGTATTAAGTCGAAACCCTAACCTGAACTGCTAACGGCTTCTTCTCTTGTTAGAGGAAGCCCTAGAAAAAAGTCTTTAACAATTAAGGTGTTTGAAAATGGAGGGATATTCGCTGATGACAATGAGTTAGACAGGATCCCAAGCACCAGCATTCTCATAGCAATGTTCTATACTCTTTTGAACATGGACAGCTTTAAGAAAGAGTAAGCTGGTAGTTTTTGGCTCAATTGTGTAAAGGTAGAAAATGAGGGAAGAGAGAAGAAAAGGTGGGCAAGAAGGGCAGACCAGTGGAAATATACTTTTGAATATATAATTATTAGGGCAAGACTTCGCAAAATAAAGTAAAAAAATAAAATAAAATTATAATATAAAAAAACCGGGTTTTCAAACTAGAAACTTTGAATTGCACTTTTCTAAGTTAAACCGATCTCACTGGACCGATCTGATTCAAATCCAATTTTTCTGGTCCTAGTCTAATTTTACACACCCCTAGTTGGTGTTTCTAAAGCCAATTGAAAAAATTGTGTTCTATCTCTCACCTTTTATTCTGCATATCAAGCCAATTGATTTCATTGGAAGTGGTCAAATTTAAGCCATAGATATGTTTTGCTACTATAGTATCTTGAATTGCCTTATGAACCTCTTTGATCAAGCTCAATATTGTCTTGGGTCCATGGAACTACGAATGTCTCTCCCTCTTTCTTCTTTTTACCTTTGAAAATAATTTCCTTTCTCTCACCTTTTAATTTAAAAATAAAATAATACAAAATGTATAATTATTATTAAATCACTCTAAAAATCCGACTTTTTGAGTGTTAAGTTAGGAATGATGACTAGAGATTTCTCCATCGTTTACCTTTATGAAGAATATATCAGTCGTGATGAATGTAACATATTGTTGATATAAAGTTTGGGCTCGAATATTTTCTTCCAAAATAATTGGCCTAAAATTGTAAGTTCGAGGTAGCCACAACCCTTTCCACTTTTACACAATCTAGAATTGTTCATGAATTTAGCGTGATATTGTATTATAATATTTTATGATCAAGTTACTTGGTTGAATGTTAAGCTTTAAACAACTTATAATCTCATGCTCTACTCTAACATAATAGTGTTGTACTTAAAAATAAATCAAAGAAAATTTAGATAATTTCACACATGCCAAATCTAGGAAGCAACTTAAATTCCCTACCATATTAAAAAAAAATAAAAAATCTAATATATATAAATAAGGTAGGCATTTTTGGAGAGCATTCGGCGTGCCACATAAGCAAAGGTATATTTTCGACCAATTAAAAATTAGATTTTTATTTTATTTTGGAATTAAAAAATTCATTTGATTTATTAGGATTTAATTTTTTTAAAAAACTAAAATTATCTTTTAAAATAATCATCTTTAGATATAGGATTTATATACCTACTATTATAAGATAATTTTTTATAGTGTTTATGATAAGAAATAAAAATTATTCCTTAATTATAATTAAATTAAAATTTGTGATATTTACCATTATAAATTGACGCATCATATGACACCAACAAAATTTCGTATCAATACAAAACAAACCAAGCAAATTTTGTGTCATTAATTTTGTGTCAGTTTTATTAGGTCATTAATGGCTGGGTAATTCTTAGCCTAATTTTTAAAACCCATATTTAAATGTATATTTGTGATTATTGCTTAAATTGTGTTTATTTGGGATATTTAATGATTATATGCTTATGTTTTGTTTACTGAATTTTGTTTTTACATGCAGATCTAATTTAATCAGAGAATTATATTCGAGCAAAAATCTTTGGAATATCAAAGTACGAGTTTCTCGCCTGATGATCCTATTGGATGAGGAGGTATTATATCTTTATAAATCGTTTACATTTATTAAATTTTTTAAAGAACCTTTTAGTTTTTATCAATTAATTTTATGATTAAAACAAATTTTTTGTGATTTAGGTAGCTTAATTAAGTCATAAAATTAACTTAATTTTTTATTTTTAATTACAGGGTGATTACGTTCCCTCAATTAAAGTCAACTTTGTTCTACAACTTTTTTCAAAATTGATTATTATAATTTTATTTTTATTTTTGATTTTGTTCTACGAATAATGATTTAGGATTTAAATTATTTTAAAAATAAAAAATTATTATCTTTTCACATTAAAGATTTTATGCTATATGTTATCAGTGAAATATCATATTTACATTTTTTTTAAAGATATCATATTATTATTATATAACCAACAACAACGAATAAAATACAAAACAACAATAAATTAAGTGGCATTATAAATTACATTAAAAAAATATATACTTTTGTAATTGGCAATATCATTTTAATTAAATTATTATTATTTTTTGTCTAAAATTATTAAATTGTAAAATAAATCTAATAAAAAAAAAAAACTTAGAGTATATAGGAAAATATCTTTTCATGAGATACATGTATGACAATTCGTGCATCGCACGGTATTATTTCAACCAATTAAAAGTTAGATTTGTATTTTATTTTAGAATTAAAAAATTCACTCGCCACATAAGCAAAAGTGACGAATGAAATTTAAAAATTTTGCCACGTAGGTAAAAACGACGAATATGATTTATTATTTAAATTAGTTTAAAACTAAAATTATCTTTTTTAAAAGATTATCTTTTGATATTAGGATTTAAATTAAAAAAACTATAAATTATACAGTTATTATATACAAACACTTTGAAATTAAATATTTGAAAAAGGAAAATATATGTTCATTTTGTTTTAAAGAAAACGTTCAATCAATTTTCTTAAAAAAAAATTAAAAGAAATATAAATTATTTATAATTAACTAATATTCTTCAATTTTTTTCAAAAAAAATCAATATACTTCAAAATAAATAAATAACAATAACGTTCAGTCTTTAGCAATATTCTTCAAAAAAACAAAAAAAAAAACAATAATGTTCAATTTTTATCTTATTTAGCAACCCATTTCATGATTAGATAAAATTTTTATAAGAGATTTATTTGCTACTCCACAAATATATAAGATAGGATGATATTAAAGATTTGTATACATCATCCCAAAAATATAATTTTGATTTTTTTTTTTCAATTGTAAATAGACAATATATATATACTATACAAAAAACACAAACATGTGAATATTATTTATCTACACTTTTTCATGGTGTGAATTTTTTTTTTCAGGTCTAATTCGTTGATTAACAAAAAATATTGGAAATAATGTAAGTATATCAAGGCTTTCTGATGGTAAACAAAATAAATTGATTGTTATTCATTATTTTATAAGATGTATGTTTTGTTTTATTTTACCTAATCTAATTATGTTACTTATCGTATTAAATTTTGTTAAACAACTTAATTGTAACTTAATATTAATTATTCTGTATTTGAAGGGATTATGTCCATGCTCCAATTGAAAGAAATTATTGGAAAAAAGTAAGGGTCTGTTCTCTTCAGCTTATTTTCAGTTCAGTTCAGTTCCTAATTTCCTTCTCTCATAAAATATTCAGTTCAGTTCAGTTTCAATTAGTTCAGTTCAGTTCACCTCAGCTCAGTTCAGTAAATCAGAACAGACCCTAAGTCAACTATAATGTTACAATAGTAGGGAAAAAAATTAAAGATTGTAAGAGATGTCTCTGATAATTTTTATTTTTTGTGTATTATAGTTTCTGGTAGAATATCTATATTATTATTGTAAAAATCATTGTAGTAGTGTATACATATAACTCTATTATTAAGACATATGATAATGAAATTTCATTATAAAGATTTAATTTTTTTCAATTAGATTAATTTTAGTAATGCAACACTCTTGGTAGTATATATATATATTTCATTTAACTATTTAAAAATTTATAAAATCATTTCTTTTACTATTACTCCCACCGTCTTTATTTTAACCCTATAGTTTTGGGTTTACTTTATTAATTTTTCATTGTATAAAGTTGATACGGAGTAAGAGAATAATGGTGGTCTAAGTTATTGTTTGTGAAAGAAAAATAGTAATTCTATAACTATATATGTATAGTGGAACGTGTTTTCGTTATACAAACGAATCATAGGTTAAAAAAATACGAACAGGATTATGATTTTATTCTAATATCTATCATACTTATAATTTTCATATAATTAATATTAGTAAATTAAGGTCGCATTATAAGTTGCATAAAAATAAAACAAATTATCCGTTTTCTAACAAGCAAAATAAAAATAAAAAAAATTATAGGGTTAAATTA